TCCCTTTCCCCTTGCTTATCTTCAGCAAGGACTTAAATTTTGATCGCAGCCATGATATAAATGCATAAGGTCTTTGGTTTGACCTCGATTCAAAACAAAGAAAACAACAAGTGCATGCATGTTAAAGTCGGAGGCTGAAAGGGGAATAACTTACCACACTGATGGGTCTTAAAGGGGAATAGCTTACCACACTGATGGGTCTTAAAGGGGAATAGCTTACCACACTGATGGGTCTTAAAGGGGAATAGCTTACCACACTGATGGGTCTTGGGTAAGAAAGGGCTTGGGGAATCTCTTCCTTGTCCTCTCGTTCTTGTCAAGAGCCAACCTGCATGCAGAGGCCATAGACTCTTAATCACTGCTCACATGCCAGGCAGGTGTGGTGGGCCAGGTGTTTCTAGGTGGGTGGTCTGTGTCACTGGAGTGTTTAGCATTAGCAAATCTCCATCCTGCTAGGTATTCTCCAAGGTAACGGTAATCATTGATAAAGTAGATAAGGATATCCTCACCCGCAAATGCCGGGCCCTTTGTCTTATAGCTTGATGAATGGTGGGCGTGACTTCTACCCCGACCTGAAACAAGGGCTCAATTTTAGGCTCATCAAATATCATAAACAGCATGCTTAGTTCCCAACTAAGGATGCCTATGGAAGGATTCTCGTGGCCAGCAAAAATGTTCCTTTCCAGTCATATGCTAGAGATAATACGTGCAAATATGCGTTCTAAAGTGTACTTATTATTATTGCACATATACTATACTCCATCTTGCCAGCCTATTTCCAGGTGTCTCTGTCTAGCATGTTCTAAATGTATTTAAACCAAACAAGTTTGAGGCCAAAACAATAAGCAGGTGAAACATGATAAAAAAAATCCTAAAAATAAATATAAGTGATTGTCACTGGCCCAAGTTTATATAATGCCGAGTTCAGCCATTTAAAAACCGATCAGCTCCATGAACTGGGCCCCAGTTGTGGAAATTAGCTGCAGCCGTAGACCTAGAATAGAAATAAAGAAGTTGATCCAAAATTCATGAAATCTGGTGGGCTGTAATAATTCTTGTCTCAATTGAAAACACAGCCTTGACATTAAGTGATGTCTTTATTACTCAGCTGGGAATTGTGGATTCTTATTTCTTCATCTTGACCTTCAGCCATTACTTTTTCCCTTTAGCACCTCGGAGACTCCGCTTAAGGAACTGTGGAACATTACTTAATACACATTGCAGCCTTTCCTTACACAATTGGAACTCAGCATTTAAGTTCAAATGACTGATAACACATTCAGATTCATACTGAAAAGTAGGTAACAGATGCCAGAGCCTCTGGGGGTGACAACCGTGTTAAGAGGAAATACTGCACACATGGAGGGAGGTATGTCTACTTGAGAAAATACAGTTTCCAAAGACAGGAAGTGGGTAAATAGATTGGTGGGCCTGGGTGAAAAGACAGAAGGTCTATACCCAAACAAGTGGCAGAGAGAATTTCAAAGGGATGTGCACACTGTTGTGGCTTAAATATGATCTGTGTGCACTAGGTGCCAGGAACATGGCCCCCACTGTGTTGATGTTAAGCTGGTAGGAATTGGTTAGACTATCAGGGGCACCAACCTCAGAGGAGGTTACTGCAGTTTTTGTGGCCTTTGCCTGGGTCTCAACCTACTCAAGCCACCAAAGGGTTAGTAGACAGGGAAATGTTTTCGATATTAATGTATATGGAATTATTCAGGCTAATAATATTATCATTGCATTAGTATCCACAAGCCATAGCACATTGCATTAAATGTGAATTAAAGTAATGGAAATGTAATCATTTACTACTGAAAGTGTGGTCTGAAGCCAGTAGCATCAACATCTGGGAACTTGTTAAAAACCATAGGCCCACCCAGACCAGCGGGATCAGAGTCTGCACTTTACCAAGGTCCAGAGAATCCAACTGTCCATTAAAGTCTGAGAAACACTGTCGTCAGCTTTTGAAAACTGCAAATAGAGCAAAAACTAACACTTGATCAATTGACATGGAAGGAAAACAACTCATTAAAGCTGCATTATTGTATTGTGAGTTAAACTGAGAAAGGGGTGAAAGTTTTATTAGCCCTTAAGTCCTCAAGAAACGATGCAAGCCAAATCTATCCATTACCTGAAATATCGAGAGTGATCAAAGTGAACCAGAAGTTCCGCTTAATATGTCAGAAGTAGAGTTCTTTGAAGACCAGAAGCTCTCAGGGAAGTATGATGATTTTTAAAAAGCAAAGAGCCAGCCAAGAACAAAGCTCTGGTTACGTGGCTAATGGTAGATTTGGTAGGTTGAAATTCTAAGAACTCATCATCACAGCAAAACTAATAAATTTGCCAGAAAAAGTACTCTCCCTCATAAACATTCAAGGACAATAAAATTCCAGTCATTCGTATTGTGAGAAAAACCACTAATAGCCGCAGCCAACTGGATTCACTTAATGGGATTAAAATGATCTAGAGACAGGACAAAGATGTCCCAGTTGGTCACTGAATACAAAAGGGAAAATATTGACAAATAAGAGTATTCAAAATAAGATTCCCCGCAGTTGGTAGAGGATTTACCTAAGGTGAAGCCCTGCATTCCTTCCCCAGCACTGAATAAAACCAGGCATGGTAGCACATGCCTGTAATCCCAGCATTCAGGAGAAGGTGGCAGAAGGATCAGAAGTTCAAGGTTATTCTCTGAGTACAGCCTGTGCTGCATGAGCCCCTGGAGAGAGGGTGCTAGGATCAGGGATGAGAATAAATCCATCTCTGGTTGAAAAACCCTTTCTCACCAAGACATCTCAACATGGTTTGTTTCTAACGAGTTTCCCCTCATTGATTCTGGTGTGGTTCAGTGTTCAATTTGCATTTAAGGCTTTATACAAAAGGCAAACTGTCAGAAGAAACCCAAAATTGAGTGACTGCGTAGATAAACCCCAGGTGACTAAAGGCAGACCTCTAACACCTAACACTGGGGCAGACTTGGCTGGAAAACCCCTTTTCCACTTAATGATAATCCTCAACAGCTATTGAAATCTCTGCCTGCTTTCTCTTCTGTTTCCCTGGCAAGCTTCCATTTGCTCTGGCTTTTGCAAGAGTAACAGTAAGTAAATTTGACTCAACAAAACCAAGTATTATTTTACAAGTACAAACTGAAAATCAACCTAAGTTTGGGCTTGGGTTTTTGAAACTGATGCTAATTTTAAGCAGCAACCCTGAGAATCCCTGGAGGTTTCCATGAACTAATCGGTAGCACCAGCATTTCCACTAGATGGTAAACTGTTTTCAAGAGCAAGAAACCTTTTCACAAGCCCAAGATGGTTTTGATATCCAGACTTGCCCCCATGGCAGCCCTTTCAGTGAAATATCTAAACCTTGTCTTCCGTAGTGAGGTGACTTTGACTGATATCTTAGAGCTTCAAAGTTTTGTTGTTCAGTTACATGTATGCATGAATGTGTGCGTGTGCATGTGTGCAAAGTTCGTGTACTTGCATGTGGAGATCAGAAGAGGACTTGCAGGAACTGGCTTTCTTTACCCACTAAGTCATCTTATTAGCTCTAAAACTTGAACTTGACTTGGAGTCCACAAGTGAGTGGAAGGTGCTATATTTATTTGGTATGGCTTTTTGGTTTTTTGAGACAGGGCCTTGCTACGTAGCGTGGGATGGCTTTGAGTACACCATCCTTCTGCTACTATCAATGCCCTCCAACCTCCAAATGTTTGGACTACATGTGTAGCAAGGGTGTCATGAATTCCCCTGGTCTCAAAGTTGACGTGGAGCCAAGGATGACCTTAAACTTCCCATTCTCCTGCCTCCAGCAGGGCTGGGATTACAGGAGCAGCCGGTTTACAAAGTGCAGGGGATCAGACCCAGGGCTTTGAGCGTGCTAAGCAGGCGCTCAAATCATTCCTAGCCCACAGGTGACCATTGAAGATTAATATCTTCACAAGCGTCTCACACTCATTTTATCAAACTTCTGAAGCAGCACTTAATATTTTGTTAAGCAAAACAAGAGCCAAGGGCATAACAAAGAATTTACAAATGGTGGGGGAGAGAAGTCGCCTGCGTTCAATGATAAACATTCTCGGCCTTCTGGCAATTGATAACATTTGAATAATTAATGTTTTTCGTCTCAGAAGAAAATTATGCTGACAGCCTTTGACACAGTACACCTGGGAGAGGTATAAACAGGTAGTTAGGGACCAACTGAGAGTTGACAGAGCCTACATCTAAATGACCAACCATTGTCACTGATCTTTCAGGACTAGTGAACTAACTCAAGAGCCAAGGGGGATATGACACCATTGTGGGCTAAATGGACTGCACCCAATAAGGGAAAGTGATCTGTGATCACCAGAAAACTAAAGACATGGTGTGTTAAAAACAACTATAAATGTCCAAAGACCTGTTTTTTTCCTAGAAAGGCGTGCTTGACATACAGAGGCTTGCCTAAGGGAGAAACAGGCCCACAGAATTCACATCTGTCCATCTCCAAACACACAATCAAATACATATCTTGTTGCACCTGATTTCCCTTTGAATTATTGCAACTTTGTCAAACCACAGGAAACTCAGTTCCATTAACATGCAAAGAACCCCAACTCTATTCCCAAGCTCCCTTTGCCTCCATCTTAAAAAGTTAAATTGAGATAGATAGATACTTCTACATATATATGTCTATCTAACTCAATTTAATATATATGTATGTATGTATATATTTTCTTCAAGAAGCTCCGGGAATGTAGTTTAGAGAAAGAAGAGCATTCACCCAGCTTTGTGTGAACCCTGAATATGACTCACACGACCTGAAAATTTTAAAAAATACAAGCGAAAGCATTATACGCTGATAGGTATTCTCTGCGGCTCACAAGGACCATTAGCAGTGCTTGAAAGCACATAGACTTATAGAAAAATAAGGAATGCATTTCTAAGACACAAGCTTTCCAATCTAGACAGGAGACCGCTGTCTGCTTCAACAAATTCTAGGTCTTTTGAGGGCAATGTTATTTTTATTGCTTTTCGGAGTGCTGTGTAAAGCATAGAGCTTTACAATTTACATAGTAAGCAATTTCCACCTTTAAATATACTCATGTGATAAGAAAAGGTACATGCAGAGAAAATACATAGGATCTCAAGAATCATCATTTACATTAGAAATTTCTTCATACAAACATCTTAACTCTAAAAACAGAAAGGGTGTCTGCAAAGAACCCTCTAAGACTGTAGAAAATCCAGCTTTCCCTTTCCGCAGCCTTTCACTGAGAGACAGGAGTGATGGCAGATGAAGGCCTCTTAAGAATAGATTCAACAGAAAATGACAGCGGCTCATTTGCCGAGAGTTTCGTTCCAACTTGTTTGGCTACAAAGAGGTCCTTTGCACATCTGTCTATTGTAAAAGTGTACTTCTGGTTCTCCTTGGCCAAACACTCTCTGTGTTTCTTTGGGATCTCATCAAAGACTTCTTTGACAAATGGTGTTTTCAGCTCAAGGCCTGATTTGTCGTTGAGCGTCTGCTGGAATACTGAGTGGAATGGATTATGTTTAAGTGGCAGAGGGTGCCTGGTGTTTTCCTTGCTGATCTTCGTTAAGACGTGCCCTTGAGCAGCCAGGCAGTCCATATCAATGGGGGAGAAATTTCGCCTGGGTGGGGAGAAGGCAGACCTCTCAGGGACAACCTGGTGAGCCTGAAGGTCAGTTCTCGAGGTTGGGACCTCAGGTAGATGAGGCAACACCAGGGAGCCTTCTGGTTTGGGTGGCATCATGTCATGCTCGGCACTGAGGCCATCCTGAATTCGGGTTCCTTTCAAATCCCAGTTGGCCCCAGACTTCAAGGCTTGCACAGAAGTGGTAGCATTTAAAAGGTATTGCTGGTAAAGAAGGGTGTCACTAATGGGACCGCATTTGGGCCAAACTAAAAATCGTGAGGCCAGGGGATATTGTCTGTAAGTTGTGGCCACACTGACGTTAGAAGAAATCAGTTCCATGTTCCCCGATCCTGAATACTGCATGGTGAGATCGAGGCAGGTTGGTAAAAAGTTACAAAAGTCCTTGCTGGGTGGCTCCCCTGCAGTGGGGCTGTAGGCACTTTTGTAGGAACTGTATTCGGGTCCCGGCACCATACGGTTGGGCAGGAACAAGGCGGCAGCTTGAGAAGTTTCCAACATCTCCCTCTCCTTATATTCTCTCTCCAGCATGATGTTCTCCAGCTCTTTGTCAGCAAAGGCTCTTCTCTTCCGCATCCTGTCACTCACAGGTGGCGGGAGAGGAAGGGTCCCTCCCAGGTAAGTCTCCGCAGTTATTGGGCGATAGCCTAAAATAAGCAAGTATTGGTAAAGAAAACAGATTAACATCCTGACAAGAAAAATCTGAAAATCCCGAAGGTAAACGTAACATCATAAACCACAGGATAATCAGTTATAATTCTAAATCACTGATATTTTAATATAGAAGCAAAAGTATATGATTGATTTAATATAGTTTCCCTGTCCGGAAAGGTGCCCATATGCTAGTTTCTGGCTGTCATTATTTTTGTTGGGATAGGTATGTCTGCTTGCTTGCTACAGCAAGTGTATTATATTATGACTGAGATTTTAAAATTCTCTAAATTAAGATCCCTAAACATTGAGAGACAAACCTGTCTGCTTTATTTTCACCAGTATTTCATTGCCCGTATCATCTTTTTTTTCTTTTTTCATTATTATAAAAGATATCTATACCTACAGCTGATGTCACTTTTATTTTCTAAAGATGTCTCATTATGTACACAGTGTTACAGCTGTAGAATAATCCAAGGAGAACTAGGAAAAAAAGAAAAAGAAAGTTAAGAAAGATTAGTAAAGAGAAAAAGAAGAGAAGACTTGAGGACATAGAGAAGCATTGGAAAACTGGAAATAGCTGTTAACTAGTCCAAACACACAGCACACCTAATAGTTCATCAGGCTTCCCTTTGACCTCTTGAACAAACAAAGCGAGACAAAACAATGGGGAGGGGAGTATCTCCATCTACGGATCTCAAGTGTTTTCCCCCAAGTTCATTCATGTTGGCCAAATACCAAAGGGGCTGAAAGAACAGTCGTTCAGATGCGGATGAAGTTGTGCACAGTTCAGAAATAGAGACAAAACCAAAAGCAAGAACTACCAGAACACAAATAGAAGGCTTGGAGTATTGCACCACTCCCAAACACTTAGCAGCACTAGCAAATTTTTCTGAAGGATCCCATGTGGCATTTGTATTTACACAGTGACAAACCTATTACACTCGTCTGCAAATAAAATAAAAATTGAAAATCATTGCTTCCACTTCTAGGTTAAGGGTCTGCCAGAAAGTTATTTACTTGAGTTTCCTTTTCCCATTGAGTCCTCAAAATGCCTCCACTTGCTTTGGCAAAATTGTCAATTTATCAGTGTGGTCCCTAGGGCTATAAATGTTTACCTACTTTGCAACCAAATTCAAAACTCTTTCAAAGGTCAGCACAGACTGAGAGACAGACAACCTTTAAAACCACTCAGGATCAGCTAAACTCAGAAGAAAGAAAACCTCAACTGTTCACTTCCAGAAAGGAAGCCCTTCTATTTAAGCTGAACTATAGGAAGTGGTAATGATTAAAGCAAATGGAACTTCACCTCAGATAAAGGCAAAGGAAGGGTAAAGAACGTTAGGGGAACCGGTGATGGCAAGACATTGCTTAGCCAGTCACTAAATAAACACCATGCCTAAATCCAGATGCTTTAGAAAATCACTACTTTTGGAAGAATTAACAGGTCTCCAGGGTTTGTTGAAAATGAAGGCAAGGGGAGATCTAGACCGGCCGCTGCTCAGCGACCCTTCAGTTTGCTTGTTTGATTCCAATCTTTTCCCACTCTACAGCCTTGAAGGACAAAAGCAGTAAGAAGGAGGTGTGGGGGGAGCAGCATGCATCTAGATTTCCAAGGAGGAAAACAGAACGCTAAAGAGTGAAACTTGAGGCTAGAGGTGACTCTTGGTCCCAGCTGAAATCTTCTTGCTTCGCTTACTCTACCCATTAAGCTCCTTCCATAGCTGGGGGGGGGGGGGGGAGTTTTAATTGTTTTCCTTCTCAAAGGTAGCTTCCAGGATCACTTGACGGTGCATTTTTGTACATCCCTCACACTGGGGCAAATTTCACAGGCACTTCAGCGGAGCACATTAACTCGTGAGAGGACCTTATCCTGGTGGCAAAACCCTCCGCGAGTAAAGCGCCATGCATTTTCTAGATATGAATTCCCTCCCGCGACGCAAAATTTCTAATGAGGATTAGCTTCTTCCTGGGTTAATACAAACGTCATGCGCCTAAATGATAAGCACCCCTCAACTGGATTTAAAAAGTCCAAGGACCAACTTGACGTTATTTTACCTTCTAAAATGCTTTTGGCCAGCAAACTTGGCGCCCTGACTTGCCTCTGGTACACTGCTTTCCGTTCGAAATTATTCTGTTTCCCGGAAAGCCCCTTCTTGTCCTGTAAACACACACACACACACACACACACACACACACACACACGAAAAAGAAAAAACAATCGTGAGAATGGAGGAGGGGCATCTACAAGCCTCTAGAAGTCTCCCCAACCTAAAACATATTTGTTTTGCCGTCTCTTATAAAAATTACTTGAAAGAAAATTAATGGGAGGACTCCTTAATCTCAGTTCAGCCACCTAGAAGGCCACTCCCGCTTTCTTTAGATACCGCTCCAAAAGACGTTTAAGGAAACAGAGCGAGTTGAGATCCGCTGTCAAGGGGACTTTAGGAATCTGGTCTGAGAGAACTGGGTTGGGGGATGGTTGCCTCCTCAAGGCGCATCCACAACGCTGAAGGTGCCCCAACCTGCCTCTGAGGACAAGGTGGTTTCTCCCCTCGGTGGAGTAGAGACTATGGGGTGCCAGAGACTGAGGGAGTCTTCAGTGTCTGCCTTGTTCTCAGGAGGAGGGTGGTACATGAAGGTAGAAGGGACACACACCTTAAGGGACACCAGCCTGAAAACCCCCTGCTTGCTGCCGGGTTGTTTCCAACTCAGTGAACTGCCGAGAAACCTAGCAAGACAGGGCAACATCTACCTCCAACCAGGAAAGAGATTGAGCCCAGGGCCAGGGCCACCTGAGGTCCCGAAAAGGGCTGAAAGGCTCTTCTCAGCCCGAATTTTTGTCTCCTCTGGAAACCGGGCTTCAAGTTCTGCCTAAGTGTTAAGGTGACACCGCACAGTGACAGCATCGTGCGCTGTTTTACTCTCGGTGGGCGTTATTAACACAGTGACTGTACACACCGCACTGTCAACCACCCTCGTCCCTCGCCGACCACCTGCAAAACTAACCCTAAAATATTTTAATGACTTTTCCATGGTGTCCCAAAAGGACCTAATTGTTTTCAAAGCCACCCTTTGCTTTTTAGTAGGAGACTTTTCAGGCACGCTCTGCTTTGCCCACGGCTTTCCCTCCCGAGTCCGCAGATTCGCGTGGGCAGAGTATCTGCAGCTCTCCTGCTGCTAAGTGGCTCCCCATCCTGGCTGGACACGCACCCTCGAGACGCACCCCGGGCCTAAGGGTACCCACCTCGGTGGCCTGCTGCCTCCGGAGCGCCACCTGGGCGGCCATGACACGCTGGCGCTCCACCACGAGCAGGCAGTTGGCGCACTGGCAGTCCCGCCAGCGACAGAAGCGCTTGTGGCCCTTAAGACACGACACCACGCCGTGGTTGCGGCAGCGCGCGCATTTGGGTGTGCGGCTCAGTTTGCGAGGCTCCGCGCCGCCACCCGCGGTGGCACCGCGCTCAGGGGCTGCGGCAGCGGCTGGCAGCTCCTGAGCCGCTGGCGGTGGCCTGGGTGCCAGTCCTCCCGGCTGCTCTGGCCGGTCCGGCACCTCCGGGGACGCGCCCGATTCCTCGCCGTCACCCTCGTCCTCTGCGTCTTCGTCCTCCTCGTCTTCTTCCTCGTCCTCTTCGACGTCCCCGTCCGCCGCTGACGGACTGGGTCCCTGAGACATGGTCCGCGGCGGAGCCCCACTGCCATCCTCCTCCAGCTCTAGGCTCTCCACGTCGATCTCCCAGTCCCCGGCTCCCGGGACTGCCTGTCCTTCTGTCATGGCGCTAGGCTCTCGTTCGGGTCGGTTGCCGGCACTCTAGGGAAACAGAAAGAGGCCCGAAGACCCGCCTGTCGCAATCAGGACCCTCTCTGAGTCTTGGCCCAGAACTTCTTTTGCAAGACCAGAAGGTACCCAGTTTCTTTCTGGTCCCTACAATACAAGCCACATGGACCCAGAGATCCACAACTCAACGAAGGTTTTAATTCACTAATTCTAAGTGGTCTGTGCACCTGACCTTTAACCGCAACCCTGTCTGGCCTCTCCAGACAAGTCACCCACTGACCTTACACACTCTCCGGTTTAAGCCGCTTGTCAAGCTTTTCCACAGTCGGCTAACATGGCCATGATGCATATAAAACTGTCGATGGAACAATTATCTTTCCTTTAAGTACAAGGGACCTTAAAATCACGTTTCCCAAATGTCCCTCATTGACTGACCTATGCCACCACAAAGACTCTGGAGAGGTCTTCCCATCCCTACCCTTCCCCTACACCTACGCTGGGCTATTATTAGAGGGCCCACACACCCACAGGGGGTGGAGGACACTGGCCATAAAGCTGCAGAAGCTAGTCTGGCATCAGCAGTGCTTGGGCCGCACAGGGCGGATGCAATTTGTTTTTCATCGTTAAGGCAAGACAACCAGAAGCAGAAAGGATCAGTAATGATGATTCAAGCCCCCATGCCCTCCCTGACTCCCAAGCAGCAACATCACAACACTCACCAAGACTCAGAGGCCCAGGCTAGCAACCCAGTAAAAAGATATCCAGTTTTAGGATCTCTCTCTGGAGCTGCAAGCAGCTGAAGCAAACTGAAAGGGATCTGACAGCAGGAGGCCGGAACCCACAGGGTGGTGGAGAGGGACGGAGGCAGGAGGTGAGTCAAGTCCTCAGCAACCTCACCCCGTACATCCCAAATTCTGCAAAGTTCTGTTCGGTCCTCTGTAGCCCGGGTCGCTTGACTTCGCTTTCCACTTCTGGCCCAAAATGGGCAGGAAAGGTGGGGCTCGGACCCAGGACTCAGCCGCCGCAGGCGCACTCGGCTTGCTTTCTGAGCAGCAGCGTCACTCACTGCAGTCCCGGGCCTCCGCGCCCCTTCCTAGTATTATCCACCCACCCACACCCACCCCCGAGCTCCGCGTCCTCTGATTGGTCGATCATTAGGCGGTGTGCACGCCGATTGGCCGAAGCACTCAGGCTGAGCGCCCTCCTCCTCTGCACAGCGGGCACTTCCCTCCTAGCTTTCCTAGCTTTACCAAGCGGGAGTCCTCACGCCAGCCTTCGCTGCAGCCGGGTCCCTGATCCGGAAGCTGAACCTGAAAGTGTGAGCAGCGATCGCAGCAGAGAAGTCTCCGTTTATCTCGCGAACTAGGGAACGAACTGAGTCTCACTCTTATGCACCGTATTTTTCTCGAGAAGGTAACTAAGAGGTAGAGATCGGAAAGGTTAGCGCTGATTTCTATCGTCTCTGGTATTTAACCATCCGCAAAAAAGGGGCCGCTCTTTGTGGCATCTTTCTCTCCACATGGAACATGCCCATGATTATCTTACAGGATAGCAGCGCCTTCCTGTCTTAAAAATATCTGTATTTTGTGGATAGCACTGAAGTACAAAACAGCTCTTTCACAGAGCGAGGCAGGTGGCCGCCTCAACTACAGGTCACTTACATTTTCCTTCTGTCAGTGGATAGCACGGTTCATACTGGAGAAAATGGAAATCATTCACGCCAATAGCAAGTTTAGATACAAAAATATTCAATCTAAGCATGCATGTATACAAAATTTTTTAAACTGCTTCTTAGCGTGTGTAAATAGTGTTTGTAAAGAAAATGGACTTTCTTCCCTCTCTCTCAAAATACCCGTCCCATAAATGTTTGAGACAAAGTTAAATTTACTATGAATCGCAAGGAAGTCCTTTAAACTGTATTCCGTATATCTTAAGTTAAATGTAAAATCTCATTGATGGTTTTGAAATCTCACCTTTAAATATAGCCCTCTGCAGAAGGACCGGCTTTAAGGGGGAAAAAAAAAAATACTTCGTGTCGTTCTCCTGGACTCTCAGTAGACCAGTGGTGGATATTTGTTGAAGGGAGACCGTTTCGGAGCTGATTGTAATTTTCCTCTAATCCGAACCTGTCAGAAAGTTGAGAGTTAATCAAGCTCGCCCCCGAAGTGGAAACAAAGACCATCTGCCTGCCGGAAACACAGGTACCCACACGCCCCTAGTGAGGCTGAATTCCTCCTAGGTCGGGCACTGGAGCCGCCTTCGCGCCCAGAGCCAAGGTGATGTCCAGCTAAGTAAATGAAGATGGCTTTCTGTATGTTCCCGTAGATTTTTCAAGGTCTCTTGAGGGTCTTGAGAGGCGACTCATAAGTCGCAAGACTCCCTAGGACAATTTCACTGAGGTAAACGGGAACCGACTCTTGCTGCCTCTCCGTTAGCACCTCCTAGTAACACAGAGGAGTTTCTTCGCCAGGTGTGTTCTTCCTTATCTAGCCAAAGATAAGGTTCACCCGGGTGGGAGCGTTTGAGTTCTTGACTTGTTTAACCTCTGTTTTCTCCGGGGAGTCCTGGAGAGACCCATTGTCCTTGGAAAAAGCCAGGTACTGGGTCAAGAACCTTGGACCTGTATAGCCTGCCCACTGATGTCACAGAGGGTAGGAAGTCCTCGACTCTCAGCAGCAAATACTGGCAGAGGGTTTGCCTGTGGTTTCTTGGTTGTTTTGCTGTTGTTGTTGTTGTTCCTTTGTTTTGGTTTTGTTTTCATAGCTCCTCTGCATCACTTCTGATGTTAATGCTTGGAGTTAGGAATAGATTCTCCAGGACAGGATTAGGCACTGGTCTTTTTCTCATTGTTTTGTTTTTGTCAAATAATGCTGAGTTTTCTCCAGCACAGTCACACACACACACACACACACACACACACAGAGAGAGAGAGAGAGAGAGAGAGAGAGAGAGAGAGAGAGAGAGAGAGGATACATTTCTACCTTTGCAAACAGGGTATTTCTGTGCATCTGCCCTCCGATTGAAATTCCACCACCACTACCCTGCCAGATCATGTAGACAGAAGGCTTGGTTCTTTATTTATTGCTTGTATGATGGGCCCCTAAGAAGAAAGAAGATAGAATAATTAGCCCTTTCCCGGTAATTTTAAATATTAACGAAGTTCAGAAAATATGTTTACTTGCTACTAGATGGCAGAGAGGGGAGCCAGGAAGGAACAGGGAGAGGAGGTGTGGGTAGCTGCTTCCTAAACTGAAAGTAAACAGGCTCGGGAATCCAGCAGCCCTCTTACTAGTTCAAACTTTAAATAACACTTGAGAGAGGGAGAAAAATAATATTTGTGTACATGAACCAGTCAGATAAGACCAAAACTTGAAAATGGGACATGGAGTTGGGGACCCTAAGGCAGAGGAACAAATCCAGAGGACCAGCTCTTGGGAATGTCCCAGGGCAGAGACCAGACTACCTGTTGTGAGCTTGCTGGGCCAGACCAGGGAAGGATGCTGAAGAGCTTCTTGGCTCAGCTGGATCCCTAGGTTTTGCAGAGTAGATACACCCAGTGGGTCTTCTCCAGCACTCCAGCACCCCATGGACAGGGGAAACACAGGACAATAGCTTCATGGCTGTCTGCTAATTACCACACACACACACACACACACACACACACACACACACGCACATCGCCCCTTTTCCCTGTGTGTCTTCCTTCCTTATACCACCATCTGTGCCGCTGCAATCAAGATCCTGTTGAATTACACTCCATCCTCTGGTCTTAAAGTTCTCCAGGGAACCACTGGTGGGGATTTATCCAAGGACAAACTTCAGGAAATCCAAGACACTCCCAATACTGAAAGTAAAAATGTGTGCACTCCTTCTGGGGGGTGAATGGTCACGTGTTTTATTGGACTGCCAAAGGATGCCATTAGTTACACAAACTGTTCAGTAAACTAAGTATTCAGGAGAAATGGGGGTGAAGGAGCCCGGGCTCCAGTTGGTTCTTCCATAGACTAGTGAGCTTGAACAATCATTTTTCTACATCTTTTAAAAAGTGACCCTTCCTGGCCTGGCATATGAAAACTTCAACTTACAAGGATAGGGTGATCGAAGAGTGTGGCCTCCGAATAGACCTCCTTCTCCTCTCTGAAGACAGCACGTGCATCCAGCGAGAAACTGGCTTCTCTTCGCCCTCTTAAAAAGACCTTCCTTGACTCAGGACTTGTTAGGTGAAGAAACAAGTCCCTAAAGGGGACTTGGAAACCAACACCAAGTCACAAAGCACTGTTCTTTCCAGTGCTTTTTGCCCTGCTGTTGCAAGCTATGGAGTTGGTGTCCTTCCCCCACTGACCCATATGGGTGAAGCTGGTGGAACGTGTCCTGGCTTGCTTGTGACTAATCTACACACGCACACACACACACCTCCACCCCTTCCTGCTCCAGCACTTTTTGAGCCTACCAGCTGAGAAGCTTACCCTCAGAGAGTCAAAGGGAACCAGAACTGAGATGAAGGGAGGGAGGGGGGTCTTTCCTTGGTAAGAGTGACTTGGTGCTTTCTCCAAACACCTGTCCAAACATAAATAAATCATTTTCAAAGAAGGCACGCCTATATCAGATTGGCCCCTGCTCATTGTACAATCCCTTGAACACACACCGCTAGAATGGCCCCTGAGTCAGGCAGTTAAGCTACTCCTGTCTTTACCACCTAAAGCCAATTGGCATCTCAACCTCCGCCCTGAGAGAGACCTCCACTTGCTCAAGGTGTCAAAGGGACTCTAGGGCAAGCAAGTCTAAGGACTCATAAAATGGACCTGGGAGGCCGCTACCACTAGCAGCAGCTTGAACTGCCCAGTGAAAAAACTTCATGTGGTGATTGGCTGTTGGGCATTTCTGGGCACCTTGGTATAAGGGCTTTGCTGTGACTAACTGTGGCTCTGATTTCTTTAGAGATGACCTCAAACTTGTGTATAGGAACAGTGTCATATGTGCAGTTCGACAACTTTAACTGGCTACAGACATGGTAAAATAAATAATCCCAGATGGGACCACAGAGATATGATTTCCCAATCTACTTTGCGAAATCAGATATACGACCTGTCACACTCAGTGGGGGTGGAGGTGAGCAAGGAGAGATTTGAGAAGATAACTGTTCTCCACCAAGACAGTTAGCACGCCCCTCCCCCTGCTTTGGTGCCCTAAAGCAAAGGACAAGAGCCCTCATTCCTTCTTGTTCCTTCCGTGCTAAGTTCAGTGTTAGGAGACATTGAAAAGAGAAAGGGGGGCAACAGATTTCTCCCTGCTCTTGCATTTAAGGGAAACTGAAACTCAAAGGAGATCATCGAGCCGTGGGGTGACAGGATACAGAGCAACATAGAGGCAGTGCAGATCTAAAGGGGCCTTGGCTATTTCTGGTCCTCCTCAATGTTTCCTGTGCTTTGCAGAATATGCCCTTTGAAGTAGGATATAGAATCCCATGCACAGTGAAGCGATCTTGCAGGCATATCTGCCACCCTGCCTATCCCGACCCCAGCCAGACTCCAAGTCACAGTGATTGAGAGTCCTCTTGGCCTCCCAATAGCTATGCCAAATATTCCCCAGGAGGCACTGGGACCTAGATTCCACCCCAGAGGTGGTGGCCTTGCTATGGAAGGCAATCAGGAGACTGTATGTGCCAAATGCTTCCTTGTACACATACCCTCGTGGGGAGGAGGGATGTTCAGGACTGGGCAGACCGCAAGCCCTTGCCTCTGGGAACTTTCCATCCCCTATGCCTGTGGTAGAGTGTGATAGTTCAAGAGTTAGATCCTGCCCACACTGACATCTCATGTCAACATCTAACCAGCAAAGCAGAAGGGAGTCGGGAGAGGCAGGGGAGCAAAGTGTTGGTCCTGTGGGAACTACCCAGAGCAGGAACTGTCTTCCTTGTATGTGAACCACCATCCCGCCCCTGCAGGTCCTGGAGTCTAGACTGAAGCAATTCTATTGAATGGTTTCTAGTTAGTCTACCAAACCTGAAAACATGGCATGGGAATTGAACCATGGTGGCCTGCTTGCTCAGGCTGAGAAGATGGGGGTGGAAATAGAAACAGTTTGGCACTGATTTTGACTGGCTGGTCCCTTTCTCCTTCCCCCTAGTTCTGCTACTAACCCTGTGCAATCAAAAACCCCTGAAAACCAAATCTATCCACTAAGGGAAGGGCGACTTCAGTCTCACAAAGAACTCATTGCCTAGAGTTTAGACTGGATGGGATTAATTCATTCGAGCGGCCAAAAGAGGCCACACAAGCCACAACCTACCTGTGACCCTGTGACCCTGTGACTTCTAGATTATGTCTGTCCTGGCTGGATTTTAAGCCAAAAATCAGCAGGCTGATTCTTCAGACTTCTTTAGCCCTGTGTTAGGTTCACTCTGCTAAAATGTTTTCCTTACTGTAGGTCCAGGAAGGCTCTCTAAATGTGTTCTTGCTGAGAAGGAAGTCTCCCTCTTTGCTGCTCAACTCCTTCAGTCTAGGAAGCAGATTGGAGGGGGGCTGGAACAAGATGGGGGTGGGGGTGGAAGAAAGTTTGAGGAAAGAGGGAATCCCAACTCTCCAGGACCTCAGTGACTGGAGTGTGATTCTGTGCCTCCAATCCAAATGACAAAAACACAGGTCTAAAGGAAGGAGGAAAGGAGGAAAAGAGATTGGGGGGAGAGGTAGGGTTGGAAACAAGCTCTCTATGCACCCATTTCTCTACTGGCAAGTAAAGCAGCCCCGACCTTGGGTCATTTTCTTCACCTTTACCCGTGAGGCTTCTACATAGTTAAGGGATTGAAACGGAACTAGATCATCGCTGAAGTCTTTTCCTAAGTTCAGAATACTTCTGGGTGTGATGGAGGGGGGAAAAAGAGAAGAAGAAGAAGAGATTTGCCTCAGTGGTCACTCCTATGAGATCGTAGGAATCGAGAGAAGGGGAAGAGGACCCACGCCAGCTGGGGCGCGCCTTTACGACAAGGCGCTCCATAAACTTTAAGAGCCAGGGAAATCTTCTCTTTGAACGAACGAGCTAACCGCCAGAGAATAGGAAGGCGTTCCACGGGAGGTGAGCCACTGGGAAGGGGCGAGCTAGGAGATGTCACTTGCTTCACGCTGATTTAACGTGGCGGCAACGCAGGTGCAGGAAAACTCCGGCCCATTCTCTTGTTCACCTAGAGCCCCTGAGTCCTCCACCCCTGCCCTTTCTTTCGTAGAAAATTTATTGACGGGGTGAAAGCCGGCTAACAAAAAGGCAGCCTTGTGAGCTTCGGGCTCCACAAGAATGCTTTGATCCCCCCTTCAGTGTCTAGCAGTCCCCCAAACGCCTGAGATCCCTGCAAACCAGTGGCTCAGAAGTCCAGCAACTATAAAACCAATGCTTGCGCACTTCACAAGGAGGCCGCGCGGGGGCGCTGTGGACGGCCACCCGCTTCGGGGTCCAGAGCCAGGGAGACACTAGTGGCCTCTGGATTAAGTCCTCCCTCCCTCCCTCTAGCTTTGCCAGGCAAGCCTGGCGGGTGGCCGGCTCTCCGTGAAGGAACTGTCACCATGAGGGCTGTTCGCTTCCTTGGCCGTCCTGATTACTTCTTCAAGCTGCCTTGTCCCTACTACTTGCAAGAAGCGGGAGGATCACTCCACTCTGGAAAGAGTCACAATCATTGTGGACCCACATTTTGTCAGCTCCAGAGTGTGACTTGCAACAGGCTGCCGGTTTCAGAAGGTTATCCTGTTTACAGCACTATGGAAGGGAAACAGAACAAGATCTCAATCTGAGGCCATCCCTCTGCAGCACGCTTCTCAGCAGGAGCTAGCAGCTGTGGCGACCCTGGAACCCCAAGGTGAATTTTGTTCCAGCTGCTTCTGCCTAAAGCTCCCCCCCCCATCCGCCTTCCACAGGAAGCTAACTCGATTTCCCTGAGCACACATTACAGAATTGCCCCCATCCCACCTTCCCCGCTCCCACCACTCCTGCTTTCGCTTTGTAAATCCCGCAAAAAAATAATTTGGGAAACCGAGGACCTTTGGGTGGAAAACAGGTTTTCAGAATTCCACTCTGTTGCAAATGATGAAGATTCAAGTTTGTCAGGAGGAAATATGTAGACCAGCCAGGGTTCTGAAAGCCCATGATACCACAAATCACTTCTGGGGTCCCTGAGAAGTTTTGCACAGTTCATTCTGTGTCTGTTTCCTCACTTATAGAACCCAGACTCTTGACAATATCAAGCTCACAGTGGCAGAAGCAAAGTAACTGAAAGTCTCTGATAATTAAAAAGCGTTGTGAGTGTAAGGTGGCCAGGTCTCCCTGGTCTAATTTTTTTTTTTTTCACGTTCTGGGTAACCGAGAAAAAAGGTCAAAGATAGCGATCTCTGAAGCGTCACAGATGGAGTCCTGTTTGTTAATGTGCAAGTGGCTCTTCTTTCTCAAAGGAAGGTGCCGCCCCACACCTTCTCCACCAAACAAACAGAGAGACTTACCTTTCTTTGACCACCGTGGAACCAGCCTTTCAAGTGTTTGTAGAAACTGATTGTCCCTGCAAAGCGTGAAAGACATGCCCTCCTGGCAGGACGTGGTAGCAAGGTGCTGATCTCAGCAGGGAGCATTTCCCTTCCTGAGAAACTGTGTTACTGAAGCAGGAAGGGACAGTCAGGTCTCCAGTCCCATAGCTCACTGTAACGTTCCTCTAGCCTTCAACCAGCAACTCTTGGCTGGGCTGGCTTTTGTTCAATTGGTTCTTGTTTTTGCCTGTTGTTGTTTCAGACTCAGGGGAAAACTTAACCATACACAAAAGAAGGCCAAATTGCATCAGATCCACTAAAGTAATCTAATGACCCAAAGAATAAATGACATCTGCACAGACCCTCGGCAGACCAGCCATTGCCACCAGTTACTCTGCACAGGTGCTGGAGGGGTCCACCACAGTCCTGCCTGGGGGCTGAGTTGGAAAGATTTCATTTTACTGAATGAATGGCATTTATGCACCACGGTTCTGGTGCATTTTAGACTTCACAATCCTGGGATGAATCATTAGCACAGGATACTCATCAACTGAGCACCCAGCATGAGGGCAGTGGACAAAGGACAGGGACACGGGTGGTCAATGTGAATGCTAGATCTATACTCTAGTCTAGCGACTTAATGATATGCTTCTTGATCTGCTAAATAACTTGGGGGGGGTGTTCCCTATAAGGGGCTAAAATTACTCCATTAACAGAGAAAAACAAAATCTCAGGCCTAGCTCTGAAACTCTGAACCTTTTGGCTCCTCCCAATCAGGAATTCTGCCTCTTTAAAACCTCTTCGATCCTGTCTCATTCATATCAACAACCTTCCAACATCACGAATAAACAGAGATTTGCTGGGGTTTGTTGCTTTATTTTTCTCTTTTAGTTTTCCGGATCCCAGTTTGCACAACACACGAGCACATCTGTACGCACATCTGTACACTTAACTTTCGTCCACTTAAGCATTGCAGAGTCACTGGACTTGGCTTATCTCTGGCTTCAGTGTGGAGTTCAGCCCGGTACATGAAAGCACGGAATCAACTCTCCAGTGGTGGTGTTCTCTGTAGTTTTCCCAGATGTTCTCCTATTGTTTGGCAAATGTTTAATGTAATAAATATTGATGATTCCCTCACATGTGGTGTTAAGATTTGCTCATCCAAAAAGAAAAGAATCTTCTTTCCTGCAATCTTTTAAAAATATATCCCTAGGTTTGTTGTCTTGAAATTAGCCTGTACTCTGGCAGCTTTCTTGAAATGTCAACCAGATGTGGAATCCCATTACAAAATAGTGTTCTCCTATTTTTTTACAAAAGCAAATTTTCCTTGTCACACGGATTGGTGACGTTCTGAAGCAGTGTTCTTCAAAAGTCTTCCGTCTGATCGTGGAATAAAATTCTCTGAGAGTCAATGAGCCTCCTCACATCACACATGTTTTAATTCTCTTTGCTGGCTCCAGGATCACGGCTCCTGCCATCTCAGATGTATTTTTCAAGTCACCGCTAGTGTAGAGGATGCGGTGGTCCTTAGAGGAGACCTGTCAATTACAGCCTTGTCCCTTCCATTTCCAGTCACACATACTTTCCATTCAAAGCTCCTGTTTGCTCCTTTCCAAAAATATTATCCTTCTGAGATGAAATTTTTCACGCATAAACCCAGCCCGGCTGAATAGCCCTTTTTTTTTCTAAAGGAAGTTTGAGAAAACAAATTCTTAGTTATTTGAGAGAGTTAACACAGACTGTTTTTCAAACCTGGATATATGTGTGTATTAATCATTAAGAAGGGGGAAAGAGAATTGGTGAATTGACTCTGTGAGCGAGACTCTTGAGCCTTTGGAAGTCACCGAATGCTTAGTAAAAGTGAGTGTGATTTATAAATCTTTGCAGATTACAGATCCTACAACATTTATTAAATTCTTTAGGATGACAGATTTATTCCCATTTCTCTACGGAGCCACAATAATAATCGGCCTTCACTGCCACGGGAGCATGTGCATTTGTTAGCTCGGATAAACCTGTAATTTCATTATCACAGCAACAGGAGCAGTTTTGTCCGCTTTTCTGCTTTGAAAATAGATCTGTTTTTAAAAAGGTACGGGGCACGAAGATATCTCTAATACTATTTTGTGCAGAAATATAAAATGAGGGTTCCAGGTCTTGGGTGGTACAATTAGAACTTGGAGGATATAATCCCCAGCACTGGGGGAGGGGGGGTGCGGGGGGCGGTGACAGGGTGCAGACCCCTGGAATTTTCACAGAAAATTCATGTTATGCATATGTGTCACTTTCTGGAATTAATTCTTAAATTTAGAAAGTCTGACAAATATACGCAGCAATGAGACTGAGATCATCTTTGCCTTTGTCTGAATTGTTTTGTCTTTTAAAAAGGTTACATGTATGGATGCTTTGTCTGCACGTATGTCAATGCACCATGTACGTGCCTGATGTCTGAGGAAGCCAGAAGAGGATATCAGATCCCCCGTAACTGGAGTTACAGATAGTTGTGGGCTACCATGTGGGTGTTGGAAATCAAATCTGGGTCCTCTGCAAGAGTACCGGGTGCTCTTAACCACTGAGCTACCTCTTCAGTCCCTTGTCTGTATGTTTTAAAAATATAAAGGCATAGAGATTCTATTCTTAAAAGCTTTCATTCTTGATACAAATAAAAATAGAATTTAAAATCTTTGCTAAAGATAAGCTTTTTTGGTTTTTGGTTTTTTATTTTTAAATGTGTAGCTGCTCTTACTGTCCTGGAACTTTCTCTGTAGACCAGGCTGGCCTCAAACTCCCAGAGCTCAGCCTGTTTCTGCCTTCCAGGTGCTGGAATTAAAGGTGTGCACCACCACCACCTGGTAAAAATATACTTTTAGTGTTTTGTTCCAATGTTGAAGATAAAAACCAAGACCTTCTAATGCTGAACAAGCACTCTGCCACTTGGCCACATACACGGCCCAGCAATTAGCTTTTATTTCATTGTAAGTTTTCTCAAATATATAAAACTAGCCACACTTAAGCT